ACTTATAGTTGCCACAGTTGATAAAACATACAGCGTGCTTGTTAAAATATGGTCTTCATGCATGTGTAAACACCTGTAAACATGCATCTTACGGGCGTCCACAATATAGTGGAACCTAAAAATGCCCGTCCACCATGTATATTCACTGATATACTCACATATACAGTGGAACCTACACAATGAACGGCCATAATTGATGTCTAGCTTACAACACTGGTATACTCAAACAAACAAGCCATATAATGGGCGTCCATCATATATTGTTTACCTCACACTGATATACTTACATATACAGTGGAACCTATACAATGACCGTCCATTATATACTGAAGCGCAAAATAAACGTCACCATGGATAGATATATGAGAAACCTTATTTGTCCAAACACTGCAAACATACTTTGAGACATATTAAAAAGTAAAACTTGGTAAAACTGATTATCAAGGTTGAAATTAAAGTGTCAAATGTTCTTAAAGTGAAACACAACTCTAGTCTCTGAGAAAATGGCATGACAAGTCAGTATCTCGTGTGTCCGCCATGTGCATTGATGACTGCCGTGCAACGTCGATACATGGAATGGATAAGGCGGTTGATAAAGGCCATAGGCACTTGAGCCCACACTCTGAGGAACGCCTGACACAGTTCAGCTGCAGTTGTCGGCCTTGGTCGGATGTCATTCACCCGTTTTGAATCTCGTCCAACAGGTGCTAGGGACTAATGATATTTAAATCGGGACTGAGGGCCGGCCACTGCATGGTTCTGATGCCATTCTGCTAGAGGAAGTCTCTTGTTGCTCTCGCAGTGTGGGCACGGGCGTTATCATGCTGAAACTGAGTGAGTTGGGTTTAACACCGCTCTTAACAGTATTGCAGTAATATCGCGGCGTGTCAGGTTAATGTGGGAGGAAAGCTCGAAGTGATGCAGGTATCAGACGTTTACCACTTCGGTGAAACTCATGGGCACAGGTATGGTGCTGACAAACCTAGAAACATACTCGGAGTAAAATAGGATTCGAACCAACATTCATAGGTTTCTGCTCAGCAAATTGCGGCGCCTTAGACGACTGGGACAGCAGGCATTGATATAATAATCGAGTTTGGACCAGACAATCCAGTGATTGATCTCATGAAAATCGATCTACGCAATTGGGATCGATGACATGCATCACCCAATCCCGTTAGTCGCTTCTTACAACAAGACCGCTGTCATATAGTTGTAGTTGATGTGGGGGTCAACTTCAGTGGATGATGCTTCATCTTTTGCCAATGTTACGAGGTGAGCAGCGTATTTCAAGAGGGCACGAAAGAGCCTCAAAATGATCCAACATTAAGAAAGACCTTCAACTGGCTCCACGTAGAACAATGTTGATAAAATACAAAATATTATTTAGATGAACGACGACTCGCCACTCGTGAAACAGTCAATACAGTTAATATATCCCATAGTGGGGCGGTTAAGGCTAAAATTGTGCACTTTGGGTTAAAAGATTGATTGAAATGATTGCAATGAAGAAATGAAACTGATATTGTGGACAAACATTTGACATTTTTTGAAGATTAAGTCATTTTGGCGGCCATCTTGGATTTTCTTGGTGCTTTTAACCCAAAGCGCACAATTTTGACTAAAATCCAGCCTTAACCGCCCCACTATCATTAGAGAATTGAGAACATTGTAAGAAATTAACCAGACTCCGTTCCATCAATGGTAAGTGCAGGGGATACACTTTGGCAATGAAACACAATTCTGTACACTGTCTTGAACGGTTTATTGCAAACTTCAGCATAGATTGATTCATACATTCTTGAATCATACATTCTTGATTCAGTCTTGAAACATTGTGACCAATATTATGTATTATGTATTTCCTTCAAATTCGTTTACTGGCCCTTTAATTTTAAGGCTTATTTTTGACAGGTACAAGCTATAATAAAAACAAATGTGAAATATTACAACTTGTAACTAATGTGACAAGTGCATGTAATTATCATACCAACGTTACTTTCCGGATTTTAAACGAAACATCTGTGATACACACTTCCAACCTTTTCAACATGTAATTTACCCTTTTACACCATTTACATTTGTTATAGCATTGCTAGTTATGATTTACAAGTTGCTACTTATATATTTTCTTTTACTGTAAATCCCCATGATCCCCAGCGAGGTGGCCTAGCTTTGGTTACTGGTGGCCTAAAGCCTGTGTTTTAAAACTGTATCTATACTATTGTCATGCTCAAATATGTTTCATAAATTGTTTCTAAATATAGTATGCTCAACTTGTTTTTAAATAAAACTTTGCATAAAAAACTAAATTGTAAATATATTAACTTGGTCTCATGGCTATATGGCTGAAATAAATTTTAACTCACCCACTATATATATTGTTAATACTTACAAATGTTATGGGCCCTTTACACCCTACACAAGTTCATTTCATATTCTGTTTATATCCACGTGCTTGGCTTTGCACTCACTAAACCCGGATGATTAACCAGGACAAACCAAAGAAAGCAGAGAAGTTAAATAAAGCACTATTAACTTAAGTGACTTATCCTCACAAGTGGAAGCCAACAGTAAGGTTATCTATAACCACTTTTAGCAATATTCCAGCAATATCACGGCGGGGGACACCACAAATGGGCATCACACATTATACCCATGTCGGGAATCGAGCTCGTGTCTTCGGCGTGACGAGCGAACGCTTTAACCACCAGGCTACCCGACCAACCAAGTCAGCGAGCCTCACCACCGGATCCCTTTAGTCGCCTCTTACGACAAGCATAGTCACCTTTTACGGCAGTCATGGGTTGCTGAAGACCTATTCTAAAAGCCTAGGGGTTGAAGCGTTCGCTCGTCACACAGCTGGAATATTGCTGAGTGCGGCGTTAAACAACAACCAACCAACCAATCACGAAACTCGAATATTGTCTTTAAAAATGTCCAAGCATCTAAACGGTGACAACTGGGTGAGAACATACATTGTAAATGGCATTATAAGGTTTGAACTTAAACCAAGTGACGTTTGCTTGGAGGATGCAGTGAAAAGGGAATATGCAAGTCCACGGCACCCCGGTGTAATGCTGCTTAGTGCAAGACAGGTGAGCTACAGGTGAGATCCATTTCACCACTGACCTGCAGTTTGTTGTGACTCTAACCAATGAGTATTTATAGGATATAAGACAACATACACCAACGTGGGATTAGTGTTACAGTTTACATTCTACTCTTATTGGTTCATAAATATAACAAGCTACCTACTGGGACTTGATTGTGGTGATAACAAAATAAACGATCTTAAATATTTAAATAGCCAATATGGATTGGGTGAGAACAAGAAAGCTCGACCAAAGTAGCTAATGGTTGTAAAAGTTAAATACAATAGCAAAAGCACTTTATACATGAAATACAAAAACAGAAAATCCATGCGAAGTAGGCACCATTGTGATTTCCGGAGGACATATGTTTGCAAGATGTTGAACGGGACTATGGATTCAAATGAAAGAAATACAAAAACAGAAAATCGTTGCGACGTAGGTACCATTGTGATTTCCGGAGGACATATGTTTGCAAGATGTTGTACAGGGCTATGCATTCAAATGAAAGAAATACAAAAACAGAAAATCCATGCGAAGTAGGTACCATTGTGATTTCCGGAGGACATATGTTTGCAAGATGTTGTACGGGGCTATGCATTCAAATGAAAGAAATACAAAAACAGAAAATCCATGCGAAGTATGTACCATTGTGATTTCCGGAGGACATATGTTTGCAAGATGTTGTACGGGACTATGCATTCAAATGAAAGAAATACAAAAACAGAAAATCCATGCGAAGTAGGTACCATTGTGATTTCCGGAGGACATATGTTTGCAAGATGTTGTACGGGACTATGCATTCAAATGAAAAGTGAAATACAAACAAGAAGTGGTACTCTGCAAATACTGCTATTGAAGCAGGGAACACAACCTTCAGATCATGACAGCATTAACATGTATTATGCTCATTCTGACAATAAGGTAACATGGACCTAGCAGTTCAACAATTAATGTCCACTGTGGAGTTTATGTACTTAGCAATGCAACGTTTCATACAATGAGCAGAGTAATATTGTACTAGTTGTCAATAATGCAGTGACGAATACTGATATCGTCTCATTGTACATCTTGCCGAGGCAAGAGAGTTAACTGACTATAAAAGTCCAGTTTCCACCCTTGCCGAACTAGGCTGGAATTACTGGGCTCGATCGTAGCGCCACCACTGGCTATTACCAGTTATCTCTCTTCTAAGCCTCTCCTTCTGGGCCAATCAGATTCCACCTCTCGTATCACTTGCGTTTGCTTCACACAAAATGGTGGCGCCCAGTCAAGACGATCTGATCGATAATCAAGATCTATATTGTGATAAAACGGGTTTTACATCGCGAAATGCATCAAATCACGCGAGCACCTTGATTAAAAACATGAAAAGATTTGGAAAATATCTGCTGACAACGAGTTGGCGGTGCACATGCTTTGCAAATCCTGCAATCGATCGAAATCTGCACGTAAGTTTACGAACCGGATTTCGATTTCCGGTGTGCGATTTTGATTGGACTAGCCAAAATGTAACTCTATAATACCAGCCAAGTTCGGCAAGGGTGGAAACTGGACTTTTATAGTCAGTTAACTCCCTTGCCTCGGGAAGATGTACAATGAGACGATATCAGTATTCGTCATTGCATTATTGACAACAAGTACAATATTACGCTGTAACACTTGCCTCAATGCTCTGTGACCCGTGAAGATCCGGGGTAGAATAGGTCTTCAGCAACCCATGCTTGCCGTAAATAGCGACTAAGCTTGTCGTAAGAGGCGACTAACGGGATCGGGTGGTCAGACTCGGTGACTTGGTTAAAGCATGTCATCGATCCCAATTGCGTGAATAGATGCTCATGATATCAATATCTGGATTGTCTGGTCCAGATTCGATTATTTACAGACCGCCGTCAAATAGCCGGAATATTGCTGAGTGTGGCGTAAAACAACAAACCAACTGAAGACCTATTCTACCCCGGATCTTCTCGGGTATTTACAGGCCACCATATTATACAATCAGTTTGAAAAGTGCAGTAATTAAGAACAAAGAAGAAAACAAAAATTAAATAAACGTTTCATGGATATTTGATTTCCACTGACTTCAGGAGACTGAATGTGATGTCAAGCCTCACGCTGTTATCGACAGAAATCCGTATTGGGGCTTCGTAGAAGTTATTGCCATCGATGAATATCTGAAATTAACACATGAGTATGAGTTATAAATATTGACTCATTATCCACTTAGATGTTCAACTGTGATACAAATGGACTTAAGTATATATAATACTCGTTTTAGTTAGATACGAGAAGATCTCTATGAACTGATCGACCGAAAGTTCAAAAGAAAGTGTATCTGACGAGAAGCGTGGTACTGCATTTATTTTTCACTCTCAGTGTGTATTTAAATGTAAATACATGACAATTTTTGTTCGTTAAACGTTAATCTGGTCCTGATTGACCTTTTTGTCGTTCGTTTGTTGTTTTACGCCGCACTCAGCAATATTCCAGCTATATGACGGCGGCCTGTAAATAATCGAGCCTGGACCAGACAATAAATATCATGAGCATCGATCCACGCAATTGGGATCGACCGACATCAACCACTGATATGGGCATTTATTAAATTCTATACGTACGCATTAGTTCCGGCTGTTGTGTGTATAATTTGCATGAATATAGTAACGATCGAAACATCATTATTTGGGATTAGCAAGGTGTTTGCATTACCTGTAAAAAACAGAAGCAGCAGATTTGGGAAAACACATGTCCATTAATATTACAAGGCATCTTTAAAACAGAAAGGCATATGTCTCGTAATACATAAATAGATGAGTTCATTCTGTTTAGGAAAACACGTGCTTAATGCAAGACAACTCTAAATCAGAAAAAAAACACTACATGCATATACCACTTGGACATTATCTGCAAAAAGTCATTTGAGGGAACATGCTAAACAAATTACTTTTACTGTGACCTTGACCTCCACGTTATCTTGGTCACACCCTGAGGAGTGAGTGAGTATAGTTTTACGCTGCTTTAAGCAATATTCCAGCAATATCTCGGCGGGGGACACCAGAAATGGGCTTCACACATTGCACCTATGTCGGGAATGGAAACCGGGTCTACGGCGTGACGAGCGAACGCTTTAACCACTAGGCTACCCGACCGCCCCACTAAGCAAGGAGTAACGGTTACCTCAGTCTCAACATAGACCATAAAATAGATCTGAGGAGGGCATGTAACAGTTTTCGTTGATCTACAGTTAATCCTTCCTCTTTTTCCAGTCTATAACCTGAAGAATGGGTAGCTTAATTTCTTTATGGTTATTCATTGTGATCAGAAACCAGACAAAGATGTAGTGATGTCGATAAAACGAGAGACTGTTTGGAGGACCCTAATAGTCATTTGTTTTATTTGTAGAATAGGTCTTCAGCAACCCATACTTGCCGTTCATCATGCAGGCCATACAATAATGCATTCACTACTTTCCTCACGGTCCTAATCTGTCTCTCCCAAACTCATCCCGTGTGAGAGGGAGATTGGGGATTACACATCCACTGAATTACTGTCTATAGCATGTGTTCCGGATTTCATGGTGATTCCATGCACGAATTGCTTCTTACACCCGTGAAGATCCGGGGTAGAATAGGTCTTCAGCAACCCGTGCTTGCCGTAAAAGGCGACTAACGGGATCGGGTGGTCAGGCTCGCTGACTTGGTTGATGCATGTCATCGTATCCCGTTTTCATGGATCGGTTCTCATGATGTCAATCACTTGATTGTCTGGTCCAGGCTCGATTATTTACAGACCGCCGTCATATAGCTGGAATATTGCTGAGTTCGGCGTTAAACAACAAACCAACTGACCAAAATTATTTCACTATCAATTAATTTAGTACATCCTCCTCTTCCAAGGACAATTTACCTACCAGGAAATTGGTTGTTGTTATTCTCACGAGGACATCAAACACCACGTTTGGAGAAAATATGAAGGTCGATGGCCCAAGTTCCGTCCCCCAGGTCCCGGAGGATTGTGTGTTGAAGATTGCATCAGGGTTCGACCAACGGATAGAGAGGAGGAACACAGTGTTTAGGTCGTCAGTTTCCCACAGGTGCACGTCAGTACTGTACTCAAAACGGAAAACACAAAGACCTTTGAGCTTTCTCCTTAAAAACATAATACAAACTTGAAACGTGTTCAGTAGCTTCCCCGTGACTATCCGGGGGAGAATAGGTCTTCAGCAACCCATGCTTGCCATATAAGGCGACTATGCTTGTCGTAAGAGGCGACTAACTGGATCGGGTTAGTCGCATTTTACAAGCATAATCGACTTTTACGGCAAGCATGGGTTGCTGAAGACCTATTCTACCCCGGAATCGTCACGGGTCTGGACGTTGATAAAGATGTAGGCTATCTGTATGCCTAGATGCCATTTGCTAAATTATCAACAAAACGTATATGCACGTCCGGTTAAATGACATAAGTAATGGTAAAACACATGCCCAATACAGTACGACCTTCAAACAGAAAGTCTTATGTCTCCAGCTATCTTACCAACAGAGACAAAAACATTTCCGGTTTAATGACCTTGATCTTCAGTCACGGCCATTAAGTCAGCAATATTCCAGCTATATGATGGCGGTCAGTAAATAATCCGAGTCTTGAACAGACAATCCAGTGATTGATATCATGAGCAAAGATCCACGCAATTGGGATCGATGACCTGCATCAACCAAGTCAGCAAGCCTGATCACCAGATTCCGTTAGTCGCCTTTTACGACAAGCATATTCGCCTTTTACGACTGGATGGGTTGCTGAAGACCTATTCTACCCCGGATCTTCACGGGTCTGGACGTTGATAAAGATGTAGGCTATCTGCATATTATTTGGCTGTGATTCTGTTGAAATGAGTTTCATTTCTTACTTGTATACTTGGTTTATAGTCAAGTAAAAGATTTATTCATAATACTGAACAATGTTTACTGGATGTTAATTTTTGAGAACTTACTTTCCAGCACCATCGCCTGCACCTCTCACTTTGATCTCCGCCCCAGGGGATAACGGTGCAGGAAGATCGGTGACCCAAGGAGACACCTGTCGTCAAGTAAAGGCAAACTATTTTGAAATATTCAAAATACTTATTACCCCATTCATATATCATAATGATTTTTTTCTGGCTGGTTGGTTGTTTTGTTGTTTAACGCCGCACTCAGCAATATTCCAGCTATATGACGGCGGTCTGTAAATAATCGAGTCTGGACCAGACAATCCAATGATTAATATCATGAGCATCGATCCTAGCAATTGGGATCGATGACATGCATCAACCAAGTCAGTGAGCCTAAACCACCCGATCCCGTTAGTCGCCTTTTACGACAAGCAGAGTCACTTTTACGGCAAGCATGGGTTGCTGAAGACCTATTCCACCCCGGAATGATTTTTTTCTGAATCATTGAATATAATACATCCTCATTTAACTCAAATTGCTCATGATAGTAATACAACATATAAAATTAAATTAATAAAGCCACATTGGCATGTTTATCACATGGCTCTGGCACATGTTGTTATTTTTATGACGACCACGATGAAAATGTAGAGTCGTTTCTTCACGAACATACCAGATTGATCCAACGTGTCTGAGCACACATTCCAATGTTGAGGACCTCAGTGCCAAGGGAACAGTGGAATGGAGAGGAGGGGATGTGTGTGAGCCCACTTCCACAGGCAACGTCCACAGACTGGTTCACGACTGTCAGCGACAGGGCATTTTCCACGCGGAAGTGGTTGCATTTAGCTGAACATGAATGAACAATAGAGCAATATAGAAGGCCAATGCCAGAGAATAACCAGTCTCGATTATCCGACGAAAGAGATTACATTAAAAGGCTTAAATAGACCAGTAGAAATTGACATGAAAATAATTAAACCCGGACTTTTAGTAAAACAACCAAGTTTCTACAAATTTAATTAAGTAAATGTGCAGTGAAGCCAGGGAAAAAACAAAAAAAATCAAATGTGGGGAAATGCATTTTGTTTTGTTTTTGTTTTTTGTTGGGGGGGGCAATGAAAATTTTGAGGAAGATAGTGTGAGTAAGTTGTCAAAACTAGTAGTATGTGCTGTCACCGCAACATCCAAGATGGAGGATGTTGTGTCAATAACAACAGTCATTCGTCACCACTCGCCCCTTTCCGTAACCTGAAAGAAGATTCGACTTGTCCCAGAATAACACGAGTTGGTCACGAATGCAACAACAGTTTGCTGGCGGCAGTTATGAAGTACATGGTGAGTACAAAGTTCTTTTGCAATTCCCTATTTATTTTTATATCTTATGGAACACGTATGACTAACTACAGTTGATGAAAATTTAACAACAAAATAAAAGGGTTTTTTTTTAATCACGAATCAGTCGCTTTTTTCAAGGGCTAATTCGCAGTGTGATCTGGCACATACCAGTATATTGCCTGTTTTGATACTATTCCCACAATATGTGGTAGGCAATGTGGCAATCCAATAACCGCAGACATTGACACCTTTGTGTTGCATGCAGTGCGGTGGGGTGCTACTTTCTTGATGTCAATCACTGGATTGTCTGGTCCAGACTCGATTATTTTACAGACCGCCGTAATATAGCTGGAATATTGTTGAGTGCGGCGTTAAACAACAAACAAACAAAACTCTGCGTCTCGTCAAACTAATTGCACTAATATTGTTTACCTACCTAAATCTGTGATATATTATCAAGTCATCGAATACTTACTTGCTATTGTTTGCGTATAAATGATAAGAAGACAAAAACAACTCACCAGTTTATCAACATCTGCTGTCGATCGCATCGCATAGAATATATTGAAGCGCACGTAAAATCTTGTTATCGTCATGGACCAAGAAACTAGAGTGAGTATGGTTTTACGCCGCTTTTAGCAATATTCCAGCAATTTCATGGCGGGGGACACCAGAAATGGGCTTCACACATTGTATCCATGTCGGGAATCGAACCCGGGTCTTCGGCGTGACGAGCGAACGCTTTAACCACTAGACTACCCGACCGCCCCTTGGACCGAGAAACAAGAATTGACGATGTATATTAATCTCCTGTGTGGAAATGTTTCGGATGTTTTAAGAATGGAGATGTGGACCAGAAGTATAATATTTACCGACAGTGCACAGAGCAATATTTCATTATTTGTCATCGACAGCTAAACTGGTTCTACTGACGCAAGCTTAGCGCTTTTAGCCTACATGCGGCTGAGTGAAAAGTGGTAGAAATTTTAGGCGCAAATGCGTAACATCCAGAGGTTGTCAAATACGATTGCAAATAAACATGCGTTCACGAAGGATATGGTTTGGCCGCGAACACATTGAATGATTGATTAATAACGCTTGGTTAGGGCCCTTGCAAAAATGAAGACTTGCCTTTAATCGGTGGAAATCATATTAACAGTAATTCAAGGGAGGTTACTCTGCTTCCGCCTCACGTTGTCAATAGTTGATACTCATTTCGTAGACGGAATAAGGAGTTCGATTCCAGTGAAAGTTGTATGTGCAGTAAATCTGCTTTTGACTGGAGAAGAAAGGGAAGCAGATTTTGTTGTCTGATTAATTTTTACTAATTTGCAACTTTGTCCAAATTTTTTAATTAAAACTAGTAATAATAATTTTTCGTTTTAAAAATGAATTCTTTTTCTGCAATTTAGATGTAAAGTATTCAAATTGTCAACTTAATTGAAAAACGCAATTGTGACGTGTATAATATTTGAAAGTTTGACCTTGATTTGACCTTGTACTGCGACCATACTGAAAACTAAAACTTCATACGGCCGTCACTTGTCCGTTGTTTCAAAATGCAATTAAATTTGATTTATGTGAAGGAAGTAGTTGGGCTCAACACAGATGTTTCTTTTTTGCGATATTTTGACTTTTGATATTTATTTAACTTTGCACGTTGGTCCACGCTTCGAGTAATTCTCTCAAAATACATTTCCACGTTGTGCAAACATTATTTGCACCACACGACGGGACAGTATTCCCAAAGGTATGCATGCTAGAAAGTAAACGTGTAATCCGAGCTCCGTATCTCCAGCGTTTCAAATGTACGTATCATTTGGCCGCCAAATTTGCACACACTACGCAGGTCATGGAATTTCAGAAAAAGTGTCTCTCTTATGCTCCATTGCATACATGTGTAGTGTTGGAATAACGATGGATGTTTTTCATTGTCTGAAATGTCCACTGTTTCATTTGTTTGTTGTTTAACGCTGCACTCAATATCATGAGCATCGATCCACGCAATTTGGATCGATAACATGCATCAACCAAGTCAGCGAGCCTGACCACCCGATCCCGTTAGTCGCCTCTTACGACAAGCATAGTCGCCTTTTACGTCAAGCATGGGTTGCTGAAGACCTATTCTACCCCGGCATCTTCACGGGTCTTGCCAAGGAAACAAACGGAAAAATCCAAAACTGTCAAAAGGCACCAATTCACCACAAGACCTAACAATGTGCCAAGTTAGGTGAAGAAATATTATAACTTGTTGCTATGGAAATATTGAAACTTGTTGCTATGGAAACTCGAAAAACATTTTTTTGAAGAAAAAAACAAAACACACCAGTGGAGCACAAGTTGACCACTGGGCCTATCTATATGCCAAGTTTGGTGAAGACATAATGTACGGTTTTCGAGCTCTGCTCCGGTAATGAACACTCCCGCCATCTTCAGTCCAAGTCAAAGTCGTTTATACTGGAGGGGCGGTCGGGTAGCCAAGTGGTTAAAGCGTTCGCTCGTCACGCCGAAGACCCAGGTTCGATTCCCGACATGGGTACAATGTGTGAAACCCATTTCTGGTGTCCCCCGTCGTGAATTTGCTGGAATATTGCTAAAAGCGGCGTAAAACCATACTCACTCACTCACTCACTCACGTTGTTATTTGATCTACTTCCGGCTATGAAATTACTCAGAGATGAAGAATATTAAATTTCCTATCTGATGGTGTACATTTACCTGCAAATATTAAACCGGTTTTGAAAAAAAGACATTTCTCAGTGTTGTCCGAGAAATTATTCTGCGTTGAAAAACAACAAATTTCGCTGCTATTTATCGTACACAGATAAAAGAGAGCGGAAACTGTGAGCGAACAAAATACTCCCTAATATCTGAATGACATAAATGTACATCAAATGAATTTATATATATATGCTCATGTATACAAAAAATAGCTTGCCGTAAATGACGACAGTGAGGTTACACACGTAAAGGAAAAGGGGGCGCAACTCCTCTATGCTTAGAATAAGCGGTGGATAAGGACAATATATTTTTGTGGTGTTTTGTTCACGAGGAACCGTACTATTCCAACACAGATATCGATATTGAAACTGTATACGTTTAGGCATAAACAAACCCATAAGAAACGATGAAATCGTACGTCATAAAAAAAAGTAGTAACAGCGAAATGGATGGCCCATACTAACCTATAAATTAGTCCTTAGATTCCAACATTCTCCTGATAGTGTAAGTGAATTTGATTATTCCATTATTAATGAAGCATTAGCCTTATCATCAAATATAGTGACTTACTAAAAATGACACCTTTCTATTTGACAGTGGTATTTTGATAAATATATATCTCCCCTAATTTTCGTTCATGGTATGGAAAATCTCGATGTGTAAAACGGAATTTGACGCATAAATAGCTGATTTTACCATGTAAATAATGTCTTGAATAGATAAACAATTAATCATAAAATAGATCGTTTGCCATGTATGCTAACTGGACAAGACACGCACCTGTTTAGCATCAATTTTACGTAATCAAATACCTAAAAGAATACTTCAAAGCAAACAAACGTATATTCAATTTTGAACATATATTTGTTTATTATTTTGTGATTATTTCTCTTAGTCTCGTTTCAAAATAATACAATAAAAGATGCGAAGAAAGATTCTTTGGTATAGAATTAACAGGATATCGAAAAAGGTTTGTCCAGCGGGGTACAGGACACGGTTTATATTTTTTAGACTTTTTACAGTTCTTGGAGAAATAAAGAAAACAGTTTATTATCCCGTGATCACAATATTTAAAAAATGGTGAACCCATTGAATATATAATACAAAACGAGAAGAATAATTCGAAAATCGTTTGTGGCTAACGCGCACCTGGCGAATCGTTAGGCATCACCGTTCTGTATATCAAACGACATAAAATAACAATTCCAGACCAAGACAATTCTTTTAAAAATTGTGTGTATATATTTTAACAAAAAAATATTGTCCACTTTATAACAGTTATATATTCAGTTTTAGTTTTAAAATAAAATGAAACGGCCATTCATTAACCTGTTTATATGAAATTACAATACTGATTATTACATTCTAAAGTGACATTTACATTTACATCTTCTTACACATCTTCTAACACTTGTCTGAAGGAAAGAAATATCGCATACGACACTATAAACTTTTTAATTTCTTGTTCAAATGTACAGAGAAACAGGGTATTATCAAAGGTTCATAGAATTTGTGGCCTTTATGTACGTATGATATCATACAAAACATTGATAAATAATTATTGTGAAATTACTTGTGACAAAATGTATGAAAGATATGCAAAATCAACATCATAATTGAAACTGTAAACAACAGGATACAATGATCGTGTGCACTGTCATTCAAGGACCTTCACCTCAAAGAAATTACCAAATGTATACAACAATGTTGACGTATGACATCACTTCCGGTGACCGACTTTTACAAAATAGCGTGTTCAGTGACAACATCACGCGGGACTTTACGAGGGG